CATATATTTATAACACTTATATGAATGTATATATGAAGGTCTTATGCTACTTGTCTGATAGTGAATTGGCTATACTATTTATTGCTCTATTTACTGCTATTTATCTACATTATTTGTTCCATTATAATAATTAAATAGAACATGTATAATCAGATTACTTGACAACTATTGATTAACTATTAGTCAGAGCTATCATAGATTGGACAAGTAATATAGATTAATTAATAGTCAGACAAGTAGAAAAAGCATATATTTATAACACTTATATGAACGTATATATGAAAGTCTTATGTTACTTGTCTGACAATGAATTGACTATACTACTTATTGCTCTATTTACTGCTATTTACCTACATTATTTGTTCCTTTATAACTCGCTGACATGATTCACACACTGTTCATTTTCCTTAAGCTATTTATTTAATCAAAAGATTTGTGATAATTCTTCATTCGTTCACGAATTTCTTAACCAAAAGCTGAATTTCCAGCGACGAAACAATAGGATGAAGGCGAATTTGCATCGAAATCGACTTCTGAGGCATGCACATTTAATTCCAAGTGGAATAGAATAAGAGAACCGAGAGAGAGAGAGAGAGAGGTATTCGAAGCTCCACGTTCATTTGTCTTCATTATCCTCTCATTATGACGTGGCTAGGGCCACTTTTCACGCATGCAACGACTCCGTTTCAAAATGGTTTCTGGTTTGGGTCAAAATGGAGAATCTTAATCCGGGTAGATCAGATGCGGGGAATTAGAGTGTAGAATCGTGGCATTTGGCGAGAAGCCTGCTTTATTTGACGAGCCTGTGCCAAGAAATTCTTTGAACCACGGCCTTTGAGACTCTTTATCAAAGGGATTAAACCCTTTTACGCGTTGGTGTATAAAAAGCTGTTTTACAAAGAATTCGACGCCAGTTTTTCTTTTTTGCCCTCGTATGATTTGCGATACGTGATTTCAATTGTAATTATGGAGTATTGATCACCCTCGAGGTATAAATCGTGAATTATCTGTCTTGTCAAAATTTACAAAATTTGTTTCTACGATATTTTTATGTACGATAGATATTCACATATAGATAGATATTTTATATCATTTCTAAATATGAATGAAAAAATGATTAAGTCCGTGTTTTATTACGATATCAAGCAAAAGGTTTTTTGTCTGTCGAGCAATGTGTTTTGGAGATGATTGACGTATCGACGTTTACGAGTTTATGGATGGAAACAAGTGTCGCCTCTCGTTTCGCTTCGAATATATCCGGTATTAACTCGATAGGGATTTTTGACAAGGGTAAAAAAAGGTAGGCTTTTGCGCGCTAATTGGAGTATCCATTGGAAATGCGTGAATAAATAATGAAGAAAATGGTAATTAAATGGTATTAAGTATTAAGTATCATAATAAGCAGATGTAGAAGATGAAATTAATTTTATAAGTGAAATTTATATCCAAATTAATAGGTCATATCGTTTCAGATATTTCTAACTAATTAAATTCTCTATTTTTTTTTTTGTTTCATTTTCACTTGATTAATTTGAAGCAATATTTTCCAAATAAATACTTCATCCCTAAATCTTAATTAAAATACATATAACAAGATATATTATAAAAAAGTTATTTTTTAAATATACCAAATAAAATATAAAGATCTACAATTTATTGTGACATCGCCAGATAAGTGAAATAAATCATGCACAATTAGCAAGTAGTATAAATCAACCGTCTATCAGCCTCAAAAATCTACCAAAGAAAACGTGAATTTATGGACGCAAAGAGGGTGAAATGGAATACATGGAAAGAGTATTTAACACGCGCTGGAAGAGCAGCGGAGACGTCCTCGGGGCGTGATAATCATTGAGTATCGATCACTGGCCGCCTATGACGCAGCGTCTGCTTCGAGGAACTTCGAATTCGTCCAATCAGAGGGGACGACCGAGTGATGACCTCGTCCTTTCTAATCACCCCTTTGTGGGCTGATTTCATAGTATTCTCATGTATTATCGACAGAAACGTCGAAACTTGACGAGAAGAAATGGAGAAAAGCAGAGGAGAAACGACCTTTCGACTCGTTCTCGAGAATTTAAGTTAAAAATTTGGATACTCGTCCAAGAATATTTTTCGAGAATGTGTTCTGTCTAATTTCATCGTTGTAATTGCATTGAGGAACAGCAGCGAGGCGGATTCGAGATTCCTCAAACGGAACCGGCGAGGATCGAGTACTTAACGAGGTATTTGTTTTGCGTTATTGCAGGCCACTGTCCCAGAATCGCATGAACGCGCGGCGTTTGCGATACAACACGATTGATCTCCGTGGCACGCCTCCTCACGGCGTTTAAACAATATTTGACGATAAATATTGCGCCTCGTTAGCCATATGATCTTTGAAATAACAATTTCCACGTCTAATAATAGGAAAATGAATTTTGGAGCATGATAGTATACGATTTAATCATCATTACTTATCTCAATATGATTATATTTTGTGTTATTATTTATTTACTTGTTCTATTTATTTGATCGTTATTGGGTTTGTGACTGATACTCTATTATATTTTGAAATTGTATTGTTATTGTGACTTTTTTTTTCATTAATAGTTTATTGTCTAACCCATGTTACTTATTTCATTACAGCTATATATTTTCTACTTTGTATTCTGATCATGAATATATCTAATTCTAGATCATGATTTATTTTAGTTAAATATGTTTGGCATTTCTGATCCATGCTATTTGTTTCATTATAGCTATATATTTTCTACTTGTACTCTGTATTCTGATCATGAATATATTTAGAATATATCTAGATCATGGTTTATTCTAGTTAAATATGTTTGGCACATCTGATCCATGCTATTTGTTTCATTACAGTTATATATTTTCTACTTGTATTCTGTATTCTGATCATGAATATATTTAGAATATATCTAGATTATAGTTTATTCTAGTTAAATATGTTTGGCACATCTGATCCATGCTATTTGTTTCATTACATATAGCTATATATTTTCTACTTGTATTCTGTATTCTGATCATGAATATATCTAATTCTAGATATATGGTTTATTTTTTCTATTTAAATATGTTTGACCTATTTGATCATTATTGGGATTAATTTAATTGATTGTGAATGAATTTGTTTTTTATGGAATAATTATTGAATTGCTGAAACACTTTGGAAAATATGAGTTTTAAATAGTTATTATGTTTTAGAAAAATAATTCAAACAATTTAATTTTATGGTATTCTGAAATATTCAGAAGATAATTAAGATTGTTCTGAAATATTCCAAGAAAATCTATACAATTTCTATCATATTTTTAATGGCAGTAAAATATTTCACAATAAAGAAACTAGGTCATATTCCAATCAGATTTAATTATTTTATATTCTTTTTAAACTTCATTTAACTCATCAAACTAAATCTCTACGAGATAAAGCTGAATTTATTCCTTTAAAGAAATCAAATTATTAAAGAATTTAGCTCTAAAAAAACATTATTGTTTATCAGCACTTTCTTTCACACGAAAATCAAATCACTGTTTCACCTACAAATTTTCATATCTCGACTTTTTGATCATTCTAACGTGCATCTTACGTGTTGATCAATCATTTAGATGTATCCATTATTTTTCCAATAATATGCACAATACTGTGCAAGAGTCTCATTTCATTTGCATTTATTGATCTTGTAATGGCATATCTTGAAGGAACGAAATTCCATGATGAAATTGTAGAATTAATATAATTATTTATTATTTATACAACGAATGTTGCACAAAAAGAAAAAATAAATAATAGGATTGAAATACTATTAAATATCTAATCTTTCAACATAAAATTTTCATTTTCTTTTGATTGTGATTTACTGTTGGATGCGATCCAGACATGCTATTATTAGCTTTCAATCTTAATAATGTTTTTTCTCTTTTTTCCTATTTTTTCTTATATTCTATTTAAAAAAAGGGGAAGGATACAAATATTGAAATTTTTTTAACAAATTTATCCTGAAAAATTTAAATTTGGATAAATTTCCTTGTAAAACAGATTTAATAATACATCCATCTTATATTTCTAAAATAATTAATATTTTGAAGAATTGTAATATCGATGAATGAACGTTGAAACATGAAAGTAATAAGAATCATTTTCCTTTAATAACGAATTTACATATTTAATTATATATTTTATCTGCGCAGAATTCACAACGAAATCTTTCACAAGGAAAAATTAATTACTGATTGTAATTTAAATTTATAATATTATCAATTTGTATTTGAATCCATTTCAATTTTGTGGATTTAACAAGACAGGTTGCAGAGAATTAATCTAACCAATGTTCCAAGCTATGTAATTCCATGTCGAATTTTCTAAAATTTTTTTTTCACATTATTTGCATATAAAAATTTTTTAACGTTCAATTTACTTTTTTCTAAGATTTCTTTTCTTACTTTTGATTGATATAATAAATAAAAAAGATTTGTAATTATTAACTGATATTTTATTAACAAAAGTGACAATGGATTAAAGAATAATATTTATTATTTATTACTGTGGATATTTGTACATTTATGGAAAATTTAAATATGCAAAATATATTTCATCTAAAATTTATTGTTAATAGATGGAATAAATAATCAAATTCTTTAATCGTGTTCATAAAAATATTAATTTTAATTAAACATTCGTAGTTCTTTTATTATTTATATACATTTTACTATTGTAAATTGTGTATAATTTCTTGTTGATCATTATATGTAATTATTATCAGGAAAGCAATTTAAAAAATTATTTTCATTTTTTCAAATTTTTATTTCAAATTTATTTTTAAAAACACCATAGACATAAATTTTAAACATTAATTCTGTCAAAATAATTACAATTGTTAGAATTATCCAGTTATTTCAAATAAAATATTATCGTGTGTCAATATTTGTTATAAATTAATTTAAGAAACTTTTAAAAGATGATTTAAAAAGACAATTTCTCTTTTATTCTTTTTTCAGAAATATGTCAGCGAAGGGTCGATAGTTCGAGACTGCGTGCCAACGTGTGTGGAAAAGGGTGAGTACCTTGAATTTTCCATTTTCACCTATATCAAAACCCATCTACAATCCTCACTTACAAATTTACAAACAAAAAAAAAAAAAAAAAAAATT